TATATATATATATATATATATTTTTTTTTTAAATAAAACAATTTGCGAAGCATTATTTCCTGCAACGTACAATAAAATCTCATTTTAACATGTATGTACGTCGTAAAACGAATGGTCGATTTTATTAATTAAATGAAATTAAACGAAATTGCATTCATCGCCCTGCGTGTCGTTTCGGGGTAATTCGGGGAGATGTGTGCTTACACAAATTTTGTAGTAATGCGTGCATGCGTGCAGAGGCAGAGCTGTCTCATTGCTCTCCACGCTTTCCGAAGACGCTAGTAGCGTAACCGCGAACGGTGAGTCGTGACTGTTGCTCACCTCGTAACTTATAACGCGCCGATTTCACCACAGAAACGTTGCACGTGTGAAAGTTAGGACGTCCGGTCTTTCCGAAAGAAAAAAAACTCACACGCGGATATAATTATTGCGCTTTGCTTCGGCGGATTTTCGATCGTTAATCATATCTATTCGGCGAACGAAAGAAAACTCGGAAGACTTTTCTCTGTTGAACATCTTTTTTTCATTCAAACAATCATAATAATAATAATAACACAAATAAATAAAGCGAAATACGATAGAGGTTGGATTTTGGTGTCAATAATACAATATTTCTGTATAAATTAATTAAATACATTTTCTAGTTTTCCAAACTGCGCACCGGCACAGCCGGTTTGAAACAAAAGCTGGAATAATGTTATCAGATTAAATTGATTGCCAATTTAAAAATAACAGTGCTAACATATAAGCATTTTAAAGATTATTGCAAAAGATATGAGAAATTTGAATCTGGATCTCCGGACTATTCGGAGCGTGCACTCCTTCAGTTCGATCGCCGAGGCATGTAATAATAAATATAATTGTTTTATTACTAACCTACATAACAAAAGTTTTCTAGTGAAAAAAATAATTCTCCACTCAAACTAAATCAATCGCAATTGTACATCTACAAGATGTATTGTATAGAAGTTTAGGTGTTAATAGTGATAGAAGCTTTTACTCTGTTTATTTATAATATATATTAAAAGCGAGCTTAAATCTATTGTGTGTCTCTATTTAAAAATTAAACTAAAAGATGGAAAAAGATGTAAAAAGTGTTATTTTTAAGCAAAATATATAGTTCATATTCATCATAGATCACTTATTCAAAATACGCACTAAATACTTTTTCCCTCCTTTTTTTATTTTAGCTAGATATAGTACTGTATTTTAGCGACTTTCGACAACCGACTAACACGATATTTACGCCAGTCTATATGTGACGATCACTGTCTGCATTATAGGTGTACCCACGTCGCCGTCATCCTGACCTGCCCGAGAAATCCTCATGAAAGACTGGGAACTCAGTACTCAGAATAGCATCGGTATCGTAGACATTTCTTTTTTTATTTTTTCTCTTTAGACGGCCCACTTTACATGGGCTATCTTTTTTTGGAAATAAGTTATTATCTTTCTTCTCTCTTTCTTGCCTTTTACATCTGATTTCTTACTTCGGCATAAAGTATAGGCAAACTGTTGGTGGTGGCGATAGCATAACGAATACAATTGGGATTGAGTAGTGGTAGTGTAATTATTAACGGTGAAGGGTGGAACCAATTGTCATGGTAACGGTAGGCAATAACAATCCGGAATTACTGCCGTCAAACCAAAAAATCTGCCTCACGTTTATATTGCGTGGCTACACCTTACAGTAATGGTTATTTTTTTTTTTTTTTTTTTTTCAAAATTCTTGCTGAACTCGAACTTAGTTGAACTAGAGTGTATGATTATTATATTGTGTGATAATATGACTTCATTTTTAATTTTGCTTTCATAAAAGAACGAAGACATACTTACATATTTAGTTAGAAAAATTTAGGAAAAGAATAGACGTTCAAAATTTGTCTTTGGAAAAATCCTTTCAGAATTTATATTATGAAAGAATAATTTATAATATGTATAATGTGTTATAATATGTTTACTTACGATATTAAATATTAAGGAGGAAAATCGCAAATGTGAATGTACGTGATAGCTGATGGCCGAATAAAATACTACACAATTATTTAATTAGAAATAAAGATGTAATTTATTTAATAATAGTACGTCGTTTAAGAGGATGACTCTAAGAAGAATCGAAACTATTGTCAAATAATTTTATCGATGCATTTTATTCGCGTATTCGTATTTATCATTTTTCCTCTTAATGCTCTTTGAGAAAAACTGGAGTTACAGTTGATTATAATTATTTCCCTTACGTTTCTATAAATTATAACACAGAAAATAGCCAACAGCTCTTGTTACATCATCGTTCGTAAGACATATAGGAATTTTTTAAATGTCATCGAGTCAAACTTAAACCGGTATTCGGTTCCTGTTACGTAAAGTCCACCCAAATTGACGCGAACGTATAATTCGCAGAATTCGGCCGGTTGCTTTAAACCGCGCGCGATCCTTCCAATACATAATCGTTCCCTCGTCCTTTTTGCTCCTTCGTCAGATTGATTGCGGCGGTTGGAAGCATCGTCATCGGAAGCCAAGCAACGACCGTCCTTTCGTAGAATCCACTAGTTCTTTTCTGTGTCGACTGGTTAACCAGTCGCGTCGCCTCGCCTCGCCAGCGCGTCGTCGCCGTCTCTGCGTCGAGAGTGGCCGCAACCGCGAATTACTTCGCAATTTCCCGAAATTGCGCAATCCATGCGGGTTAATGGCCGCCGGGCCGCCACCGCCGCTGGTAGCACCGAGTGGCCGGGAACAGGTGGGGGGGAGGGAGGGGGAGAGGGAGGGGATACAGAGAGCGGAGGGGTGGTAACCGGCGAGGAGACCATTAATTAAGCAAAATCATAAACTCGACTCGAGCGTGTGCGCACTTGCGAGTGCGGTTGCATTGAAAAAATATAAATGCGTGGCCCGTTACTTTCACGAACCGCCAACCGGGGAGTCCCCGCCTCACGGCGCAACACTACCGTCGTCGCCGTTCCCTGCTAATCGGTCGAGCACTCCGCTTGCGGATTTATACGTTATCGAGAGAACCGGCCGATCCGATATTATCGGCCCCGACACGCTCCAGAAGGCAGTCGGGGGGTTGAATCATTTGGTTAAATCGTCGAGCCGTGCCGTGTTGGTGTTCGCTTCCACCCGGCTGCGATCATTGTGGAACTCTGCGCTTGAGTTAAATCCGGCGCGAGCGACCGCAATCGCGAAAAATCGCACGTTACGCATGCCGCGCTTAATTCTCGTACGGCAGGTTGTGTTAAATTAAAATTGTAGATTTATATTTGATGCAGAGTGTAAAGAGAGATTTCCTCATATTTCCTTTCATATACGACCAATCAGATGGTTTCGCGTTTCCTTGATAAAAATTCAATTGCGTGTCTTGATATTTTTTCACTCGAGAAAACTTACTCGTCGAGGTCAACTTCACGTACACCAAAATTCTACCTCTGCAAATTTATACTCTTAACTAGAATATTATTAATAATCTGGTATTTTTATATTTAATTACAGAGAGGAATTAGCTAAAGAAAACCGCGTGAGGAGTGTTTTTGTACATTATTTACATATCTGATCGTTTATTTATACATTCTAAAACGTTAAAAAAGACGAGATACGAAGTGTCTACTAAATATACTAAATATAATTCCAATTTAATTTACGACGTAGACTCGCGCGCAACCTGTTCGTATTTTTATCGTGTTTTGAGTATTATTATGCAAGCACTAAACCGTGTGTCTGATTTTATCTATGCCGCAACTAATAACAAAACAAACAGTTTATTACAACCAATTTCGTAGAAATTACGAAATATTACTTAAACGGTAAAGAAACTAATTACTCAGAGCGATTCTCCGAATCTACGTGCGAAATCTGGGGAAGAGGGGGAGAGAGAGAGAGAGAGAGAGAGAGAGAGAGAGAGAGAGAGAAACGCGTATCAGATAATTAGAAGTGGCGGGCAAATGTCACCGTGCAATCGCGCGATAAATCCTACTCGAACTCCGACGCAACTAAACAAGATTTTAATGGTGCTAATGGCCATCGGATTTGTTGGTAGTACTCACATGCGCTCGTTCGCTTTGGCAACGACATGATAAGCCTTGTTGTGAAACTCTCGGAACAGGTAAATTGATCCGTCGAACGTATCGACGTATGCTATTATGTCGCCGCGTGCATTTATAATGTGTGTGCAATTTACAATGCGAATGCGTACAGAAGCGTAAAAATACGGTCTAATGAAGAAGAGCTGCTTGAGAGAAACGTTCATTTTTCAAATTGAAAAATCTCCTAATAAATCCATATCTCGAACAAAAATATTATTAATCTAAACGTTTTTAATCTGAACTTAAATTTAGTGCCATCAGCCGAATAAAGTCTTTTTCTAGTTGGCGAATCCTGAATTATAGACTCTTAACGTGCAGATTGTATGAAACATTCATTTTTAATAATTTTACGTCTGGAAAAAAATATTAAAAGCTAATGTTTGATGAATGAATGTAATATAGTTATTAACTGACTATATCGAAAAATGTGTTATTTTTAGGTTTTCTGAGCATAACTTCACTCAAAGTTCGACAGAATAATTTTCGAAATCTATTGGTTTTCACAAAATCGCGATTTTGGTGTTTTCTTGGCTTTTCGCGTATTCTATTCTTGTTTTTACAATTATAAACTGATTTTCGTGATTAGTTTAGTGTTTTACAATATCACTAGCAATTAAACATGTCACGGCAATTCAAAGTTTATTATTCAATTTAATTTATTTTTGAGATTTCAAATAAAATTCATTTTTTTATACGTGTTGTTTTTGTTATTTGATGAAAAGTTATTTCGTTCAATAAGCATCTTAGCGTAAGGTCCGTATAAAACATTATGCCGCAACGTTTGATAATAAAAGCGTAAATATCGAAGATACATTGCGGTCAAGTTATGAACTCCGAGCATGTAGGTATATCAGCCGGAACGACAGTTAGAAACACTTCTCGGAAACAGAATAAGTAGAAAAGACTCGCTGCGTAAAGTCAAGAAATATTAAATCAATTGTGATTTATAAATATCAAATATAAATATGATATTTATCTGTTGCAAATAAAACGCAGATTATTTCAGCAACTTTCACCAATAGCAATTATCGTGAAAATATTTAATTTGACAAAGCGAGCCATGCACTTTTTAAACCGAGTTATTCTCAAAACATTCATTAGAACGATCTCGCTAAGTGAGCGTAAATAGATAGCGAAATTTCGTTGATCCATTCACGCGCGAAATTTCCAACTTTACAAGAGGAATTCTTTTTTTCTTCGGGATTGAAAATTCTTACAATTGCTGCAGTTGTAATTCAAATCAAAAATTTGTATTTCAAAGAATTACAGATTTTTTTTTCCAACGAACCGATTTACGAGAATGCCTATCGTATATTCGAGACGTGGGAAAAAGATCGGGTCGAAACATTTTCCTTACGCGACCTTCCGACCGTTCGCTGTGTTGCGAGTTAAATACCACCCGAGTGGATGCACCATGTGGAATAGAATAGAGAGCGCGACGTTACAATATCGTACGTGGCACTGCGGGAGAGGTTTGTGTCGGGCAAAAACCGTGTGATCCGTTATTCAAACGAGGCACGGTAAAACCGATTTTCCACGGTGTAGTTTTAACTTCGCGAGCGACGGCGGTGGCGACGGCGGCGGCGGCGGCGACGGCGGCATCGGCGATTGTGCAAAATCCCAGCTCGCGCGCGATTTCTATGTGTATCGGGAATACGTATATTGCTCGGAGTGTAATATACGTGCAGGAGAACCGGGCTGGCTCGAGGTGTATCGAGGTCGACCGGTTCTCCAACAGCCGTCAGTCGTTAAGGGACATTGCGACACACGTGCGCGCGTGGTTGTTGTCCCTCTCGTCTCTTTCCCTCCCATTCTCCTCTTTCTCTTGCTGTCGCCACCGAGGAAACAAGAATTTTAGGTTCGGTTTAGTCGCAAATAAGTCGTTGTTTAAAGAAAGAAAATCTAACGACTCCATTTTGCCTGAGAAGAATATTATTAACGTTTGACAAACTCGATACGTTGCGCGTCACTTACTCGAATTCATTTCTAATCTTTAGGATGACCTTTCCAACGCGGAATGCATTATTTACGAAATGACTCTTCACGGGAGCACACGTTAATGATCTGTCACTTCACATAATCGATACTAGATGTGTACGGCTGCATTAAAGATTGCTCAAAAGCAGAAACACGTAACAACATGTTTCTCCGTTTAAATAAATGTATATTTTGTTATTTTACTTAATTTTTGTGCGCACTGTTCCCCTCGTTTAATTCTTATTTGTTTTTTTTTTTTTTTTTTTTTTTTTTTTTTTTTTTTTTTTATTACGTAAACCTCGGTACCACTT